TGCAATATTAATTTGAAATCATTTTTTCGATTTTTAATTTACCCACTACAAACTACCTCAAATTAATGAGGGAAAAATTGTTGCTGTTATCACACCCCCGCCGGGAATCGAACCCGGGACCTTTGACTTTACGCGCCGATGTTCTGACCACTAAACCACGACAGGTGACAACAGCAACCACGACCAACCGACCTACAACATTTGGTCTCGTATTTCATCATCGTATTAAGTTCTAATTATTAATATTAACTTGTTATCTTCTTCTTGTTCCAGGACGAATGTCATTCGAAGGCCGATCGGTGGGCGGGGGCCCCTCGGCCGGGGGTCCCCCTATCTCCAACAGCACCGGAGGTAAAGCGTTCTTTTAATATTTACATATGCAAATTTTATTCCCGATCTTTGGAGCGACTCTTACATAAATACATACGTAAGAGCGCGCGTTATTTACGATATTCGGTTGCAATCAATTCTCCGCCGAATCTTAATCACACTGAACGTCAATAATCTCTGTAGTTTTATTACTGTCTATACAATAGACGTATCTATCGTAAATTAATTTTTTTCTAATACGTATATGTTCTGTTTTTGTTTATCGCAGTACATGTTAAAATGAGAATTGTAATTGTGGTGCCATTTTTTGGTCCCTGAACAATCCTGGCGGTCCTGAAGCATTCCACATCAGTTTAATGATGCCTAATGTGGCAGTGTGGGCAGAAAACACATTTTATTTGCGCATACACAGAGTCAGATATTAAATATTGATTGGTACAGCGTTACAACACAAAGGTCATTATATCTACTAAAAACACGGGTCCAATTTCAGCATAGACAGATTGTAAATTGTAATAAACACGGCGGCTATCTCAAATTGAAAAGTCGCGTTTTAAATCAGCCATTTTTCTCCAATAAATATAATAAGCGGGTCGTTAGTTATCTAAACTGGCCTTAACATGTGGGAAAGTCGCTTTTGTTGTCCTCTATATCTTGCATCTGAGCGCAATTTATGTGGAACTACCGTAATAAATCATGGGCTAGTTTTGAACGGCATAATTCCCATTTTACCAACGGATAAAACCTTCGATGGAATTAGGTACGCGAATTGAATGGACATGAATTAATGTTGATTTCAGAATTAATTGAGTGATTACCGGCTCTGACGTCGTTTTGGTTTTCGTGTGAAACACGGCAATGTTTACCTTCAAACCGATTTAATAAATTACCGATTGATTGGGTGTAATTTTTCATATTCTTAATCAGAAAACCCGATTATTTTTAAACTGATTTGACGCCTAAAAAAATGAACCCAACTCAGTAGATTTTAAAAAACCGATCTAGATATAAATAGAATACGTTAACGGGTTCCACATAAAAAATAAAGGTACCCAACAATGGAATTTATCGTATTATTGAGACCTATAACGGCTAACGAGATAAAAAGGAAGTGTTCAAACAAACTGATTTCACGATCAGCGTGAATGAACGTAATCACATAATGGAAACGGCAGAGTTCAGAAAAACCGATCCTAGTATAAGCGAATGCATCCAGTTAGGAGAAAAAAAATGAACCCAATATTATGTGGGAGAACGTACAAAAAACCGATCTAGATATAAATAGACCAAGCCATTTAATACGTTAACGGGTTGTACATAAAAAATAAAGGTACCCAACAATGGAATTTATCGAATTATTGAGACCGATAACGGCTAACGAGATAAAGAGGAAGTGTTCAAATAAACTGATTTCACGATCAGCGTGAATGAACGTAATCAAATAATGGAAATGGCAGAGTTCAGAAAAACCGATCCTAGTATAAGCGAACATAGCAAAAACGGGAAAGAAGAAGAGTAACCCAACAATTGGTAACGGTAACTTTGATAATGTTTAATTATTGCGCATAGGTCTCCGCAGATGGCCGTGCGAGAGAAAACCGGAGACCAGTTTGGTCTTAATTGACGGTATTTATTCTTGCGATTATCGGCGCATTTCTACCAACATAGGAAGAAGTGAAGAATTGTCAGCAAACAGTCGTAAACATGACATTAGCATTGACGAAAGACCTGTTCCTTTTTCAGGACGCGTACACACACGTATACATATATATATATACATATACCTACACTTTCAGTATTCAATTGCTCAATCGAATCGTTACAAAAGAAAAAGGAAAAAACCTACCACGCCAACAAGGACTGACTAACAACTACCTCGAAAAACCAACTGGAATAAGCAGTTGCTATTTAGGAAATTATAACTGACACTTTAAGGATATTTGGGAGGTACCTATGTCAAAATTCTATGAGACAAATAAAACTTTGGAATAACGTTCCTCATTCAATTCTAAAACTCCTGTAAAAATTACAAATCGATTCACTAAACCGTTAAAAAGTTATTGATATTTTAAAAACTTGTAATTTTACACGTCATTTTATGTATACATAAGTAACATGGTTATCAAGGAAAAAAGACAAATTAGCTGAAAATCTCGTTTTTATTTGATAATATAATGATAATATTTATAATTGTCTGAAATAAATGCAATTTTAAAGTTTTAATTATTATTTAAACATATTAAAAAGTTTTACGCTCATTATTAATAGAGATTGAAACTAAATATTTTTT